CCATCTGCTGAGGGCCATCTAATGAGTCTCTCTAGTGCTCCAGCTGCCGTGCTCCAGCCTCTCAAGTTAGAAGCCAATGGTTTGATTGCAATGTCCCTGGTGACATCTCCTACTCTTCTTTTTGCCCAGCAGCATGTAAAGGCCTGTCCTGTTGTAGGTGTGGTTCTGCTTCAGGATGCCCCAGACCAGGGTTTAAAGCAGACATACTTTTATTGCTGCTCTCACCCACAGAGTCAGTGTCATCCTGACCCCAGGTCATCTGGAGCATCACCTGCTATCAGATGATGAAGGGACACAGAATCTACTCACAGATGTGTCCGTCCGGAATGGTTACTCACCACCTCCTCCTTGCCCTTCTCACTGGCTAGAGTGAATCTCACACTGTGCCTGGCCTCAGAGGGAGGCGTGGCCCTTCCAAAGCCCAGAAGTAAAGAAGATGGACATTGCTGCTCAGGAATAACGTGTACCACACTTCTGCTTCTGAAACACGTCAGACCTGCTCTCCTCCCGCTCCAGACCTCTGCCTTCCCTCACTATCTACAGGGCTCACTCCTTTGCCCTCCCCACAACTTTGTTCAAACATCTTTCCAAATGTTCCCTGACCACCCACTTAACACTTTCGACACCTCCCTGGTAGAGACTGTCCGTCATACTCATCTGTCTTTGTTTTCCATGAGTTTAACCAACGATCATCACATGTTTCTCCTTCTTGGAAAAAAATTACTCATTTATTTTGTATGCATGGATGGGGGCATTCCACAGTGTATGTCCAGAAGTCAGAAGGCAAATTTAGGGAGCTGGTTCTCTCCTTCTATATAGTGGATCCAGGGAATCATATATTTCTTGATCATTTTTTTTGAAATTGTGTAAGTATGGGTGTTTTGCCTGCATATATGTCTGTACATTGTGGGTACTATGCCCATAGAGGCCAGAAAATGATGCCAGGTACCCTGTAACTGGAGTTATGAAGATGGTTAGCCATGTGGGTGCTGGGAATCGAACCAAGGTACTCTGAAAGAGCAGCCAGTACTCTTAACCAAAGTCATCTCTCCAGCTCCTCCTCACTGATTATTCTTTAGTGCCTATCTCCACCACCTGGGATGAAACTCCTTGAGACAGGGCTACTTCTGACTTGGCAACTGATGCAAATTCAGCTCTGGGAACAGCACCTGTTGTACAGTTCAATACTCTGGAACATGAATAAAATAATGAATGGAATCAAGGACCTTGGGCTCCACCGTCTTCCACGACATCTTCTCCAGCTCACCACCAAGTCTTGTTCCCATGGCTCAGAATCTCTTAGTTATTTGTAAAGGTTTATTTTTACTATCTTTAGTTGCCTGTATGCATGTGTGTTTGCCCATGGGTATGTGCATGTGAGTGCAGACACCTGAGGAGTCCAGAGGAATTAGATCCCTGGAGCTGGAGTTACAAACAGTTGTGAGTGCCTGACCTGGATGCTAGTAACTGAACTCTGATGCTCTGGAAGAGCAGCAAACAGTTGACTCATCTCTCCAGCCCCAAACATCTCCATTCTACACCTGAATTCCCACATCACTGCCTTCCTCAAGATCTCATGAACTTTTTTTTTTTCCCATGTTGAAGATCAAGCCCTGTGCATGCTCAGAAAGCACCGTACCACAGACTACATCCCAACCCCTCACTTGTTCTCATCTGAGTCTCCATCTTACAAGCCTTCTGGGTTTCATTACAGCCTCCACCATCCCTCTCCTCCAGCCACCCATTCCAGTCAGTGACCACTCTAAAGGGCAAAGTAAAAGAGACCAACGTGGCTGGGTAGTAGTGGCATAGACCTTTAATCCCAGTACTCAGGAGGCAGAGGATGGTGGACTTCAGTATGTTCTGGGCCAGACTGGTCTATATAGTGGTTCCAAGCCAATCATAGCTACACAGTGGCAGCAAAAAAAAAAAAAAAAAAAAAAAAAAAAAAAAAAAAAAACGGAAAAAAAGGGATCAACATGATTATGGCATGAGCTCTGAAAGGTTCAGGCTTTGACGCTGATCGGCTCTACCTCTTTAAGAGACAGACCCTGCCCCCTGACAACAGTCAGGGCATGCGCAAGAAAACGTGCTACGTCATCACCACGTCACCCATAATGACTCTGGACATGCGTGGAACCTCAGTGCGTATGCGCAGTCTTCCCTTTAAAAGTCCCAACTTTCCTGCTTCTCTCTGCTTCCTCTCTACTCTCCTCTGTTTCTTCTTGGCTCTCTCTCACCTATGCACTCTCTCTGCCTCTATGGCGACCGGCCATGGTGGTTAGCCATTACCCCTGTTCCTCTTCTCTCTTAGTCTCCCTGTACGGGCCTTATAATAAACTAGTCAACATGTCTCAGCTTTCTCTTTTCCTCTTTTTAAATAAAAACATAACAAGCTCAGTATCCAGTTTTGTGGGTTCTTTCTCTGGACCTATTTCTTACGTGACTTTGAGAAGATTCCCTCACTCTCCATGCTCCATTCCCACGTTTGTAAATGGGGCTGTTTAGATGGTTGAGAGGCTTAACTAAGACACTGGGTACCAAACACAGAAGTTTTCCATGGCTCCTAGCGATTTTCAGTTTCTTCTCCAAACCCAGGACATCTTGTAAGCTGCTCCCCTTCTCCCTTGGCTGCAAGCACACTGGGCACACTGATTTGCTCCCTGATCTAGTGAACAATTACTGTCTCTGTTCTAAAATGACTTGTACTTGCTTTTTCACTTAACAAAAAAATCCCAGAGTGGTTTGACACATTCATACACAGGAAAAGTTCATTCATATTCCCTTTGTACAGCTGCATGGTATTCCAGCACAAGAACATGTCACAGTTGCTACCAGTACTCTCTGGTGGCATATGAAGGGTGTTTCCAGTCTCCTGTCACAGGAATTACCAGGCATTTATGTTGCCTTGTGTGGGTCTCTGTGGGTCAAATACTGGCCCAGAAGTTCTGAGAAAGGTATGATGTGTTGCTTTTCACCATCTTATCAATCCAGCCTGCTCCCCAGCAGAGCCAAAGGGCTCAGAACTCATGTTCTCCCTTTAAACCACCCTGCCTCCTTCAGAAGAGAAATCGAAGCCGTGAAGGATCTGAGCCAGCCCCACTTTCTGCCACAGTTAAGGTCCACACCTTTGAACTTGAGTTTGACAAGGTTAGCAGCTCATCTGGGAAGTCTCAAAATTAGCTGAGGAAAGGCAACAGAGCCTAGGCCATTCCCAAATGCTGGAGGACTGCCCATAGTTTGGGGTGGTGTGGACTTTTATGCAGTATCTCTTCACTTGGCTGTCTTTTCTTCTGTCGCAGCCTCTGGTCCTATGTCAATGGCTCACTCAGAAACTGAAAGATGGGTAAAGTTCCCCAGATGCCAGCAGAAACAGGCCGTAGGATAGCCAGACCCCAACAGGAGACTCTCAGGTGCTGATAGAGGGCAACTGAGAGGCAGCCTGGGCTGAGGCTCACAAGGAACCCACACAGAGACAAGAGCTGAGTCAGCTACCATCTGCTGTAGGGATGGGGCTGTAGGAGTCCTGGATGCCTCAGAGGTCCATGCCAGTTTTATGCAAGAAGGGGACCTGCACAGATGTACAAATATTTTGGGAGCTCCTCCTCAGCCCCCCTGCTGGCTTCAGGAAAGTTCCTGATGTTTGATGGAGCCCTTGGGTCCCCTCAGGCGCTCTCATTGTTCTCTGCATTCCTGCCCCACCCACCTCTGCTGCAGTCAAACATGCAGAGCAAAGGTTTGATCCTTACCAGCAAACAGGATCAAGAATCATTTTGACTAGTTTGGTAGCTCCAGTGTACCAACAGAGTACCTCATCCCTTGTAAATGGATCATATAAATGGAGCACCTATACCTCTGGTCTGCCTGTCAGAGCTCTGAACCCCCAGTCCTAACTAGAGAGCTTGTCACAAAGGTGTCATGACATCATCCTGAGTCCAATGCTTCCTGCCATGAAGGCCTAGCTGGGGCAATATGGGGGCTTACGCTTGAGACCATTAAGTTGTCAGGGTTGAGGGGGGTTTTGGCTATGACTATCACCTTGCAGTGTCAAAACCCCAACTCTCTTGTATTTAGCACCAGGGCAGGCCCCAGGAAAAGCCAAACCTCAGAGGCCCTTGCTAATGACCCAGAAACTGTCCCTGAAGCCCCATAGGAGTACATGATGGGGAAGTGAGCCTTCCTGACGCTGGGGCTGGGAGGTGCTTTAAGGACAGCATCTTCTGGAATTTCCCCTACCACTTGCACTTCTGCACAATGGTCCTCTGGATTCTGCCTTGGGACAGATCAGTCCCGAGACAAGGAAAAAGGAAGACACAAGTGGACACAAGGGTAGGTGTGGGCCAAGGGATGGTGGCCACACCTTTAATCCTAGCACTTGGGAGACAGAGGCAGGTGGATCTCTGAGTTTGAGGGCAGTCTAGTCTACAGAGTGTGTTTCAGGGTTCCAGGACAGCCAGGGCTACACAGAGAAACCCTGTCTGAGAGAGAGAGAGAGAGAGAGAGAGAGAGAGAGAGAGAGTTGGTGTGTACTGAGATCCACCAGGCCTCCTCCCAGCACCCAGGATCACTCCTGAGCATCTTGGGTGGGGTCAGAGGCAAGAGAGAAAGGGAGCCTCTCTCCAGGTGGGTCCCTCTGTTAAGGCCCAAAGCTCCCACACCTTCCCCTACCCTTTGAGAGATCTTTGGAAGCCAGACACCTCCCCCACAGAGCCACAAGACCCCTGACAAGCCTTAATCTGCCCTTGCAAGGTCTTGAAGTGGAAGTTAAAGATGCACGTGGCCTTTGAGCCCACTGACCATTGTGTAAGGAAAAAACTCCAGGCTTAGGCAAGGACTGAGCACCGTATCAGGCTGTATCTACCTTTAATATCTTCCATGCACTACCTTTGCCTTTACTAGACCAAAAGCATGCTGGGAGAATAGTATGTCACACACACACACACACACACACACACACACACACACACACACAAGCCAACCTGATATGGTCAGAGACTCACCTGGGGCATTGTGAGTCAAGGCAGATGTAGATCAAGAGTCACTGGGCTGCAGCTTGGTTCTCTAAAGTGTGAGTTCATTGAGGACACCTTTCCAGGCTGTCTTACAGCCACTGGCTGGCTGCTCTATGCTTGGAGTTATGAAAGCAGGACAGACTGTGGATGTCATGAGCCAGCCAGGCTTGGCCCTGCTCAACCAGGCCTCCCACCTCCAGACTAGCCCTCCCTCACCCTTGAGAAGCAAGATGGGTTGGCTGAGAGTCAGCCCTACCACCATCCAAACCCTAAAATCGGGGTCTCAAGGGGACAAGAAAGGCAGAACAGAGAGAGGCAGAAGAGAAACCAGTTTGTGCAGACCCTGGGGGCCTCTGTCACTCAGCCCTCACCCACACACCAAACAAGAACCTGGCAAAGATTTCAGAGCCTGCCTTTCTCCCAACAGGGGATATCTATCTCTAGCACAATTGTGCATTTGCACACGTTTGTGCATACAGACATGTACACGCACATACATCACACATATATAACTAAATGAGTTAGTGAGGATGTGTTGTGATGGAAAGCTGAGCTGATGGTGGTAATGTGAAATAGTATTGCCCTTGGAAAGAAAGCAATTTAGCATACCGCACCCCCTCCTCCAAGAGTCAAACAGGGTTACCATACAATTACACAATCCCACTCCAATTAGATGACCAAAGAATTAAAAACATGATCACACACAAACTTTCCCCAGATCTTCATGCAGTATTACTCATAATATCCCTAGATGCAAGTTGGTGAGTAGATAAGCCAAATACGACAGAGGTGTGAATGGGGTGTCATCAGCCCTAAGACGGTGGGAAGAGTAGATTCATTCTTCAATGCAGATAACACGGAAAGCATTAAGCTAAGTGAAAGAAAGCAGACACAAAAGTCTGAGGTGTGACCTAGACAAATTCACAGAGGCAGGAAGTAGAGTAAGGGGAGGCGGGAAAGGAAAGTGACTGATGGTAGGAAGTCGGTTTCTTGTAAGTGAGGGAGGGTTCCGGAATTGCTGAATGGAAGGGTCACACAGTAGTGTGAATATGTGAAAACCACTGAACACTTGAAAACGATGACTCTTTTTAAATGTGGATTTCCTCTCAATAAAGGATGTGTGAAGGCCAACAGTTTCTCCAGAGAAAATCGTGAGTGGCCAAACCTGGCTGGTTTGTCTATTTGTACCTGTCTGCAAAATTGTCACACAAGTTAGTCTTTGCTCAGAGATGCCCCCATGCCTCTCTGATGTCCCCGTGAGGAGATGGGGAAAGCCAGTCCCAGGGAGGCCTAAGGCCATCCAGTGGAGAGCTCCCCTTTTGTTCACAGCTTCAAACAAGTATCACAATAAAAGGGCTGCAAAACCAGCTTCAGTCCCAGCTCTCTCCAGGTCTCTATTGTGACCTGGTTTCCCCTCAGTCATTAATTACATCTTAGGGTCTTTCTGAGGCAGGATATGGCCTAACAGAGCCCCAGGATGAGTGTTCCCTCCTAACAGTGCCTTTTTGGCATGTGTGCTGGCCATGTGTAGACCAGCAGCTGGGAAGCTCTTCCTTGGTTTGACCACAGTATCCCACTGGAAAAAACGGTGGGCAGAGGTTTCCAATGAGTCAGTTCTAATTCAGTCTTATTCAGCCTCAGGCCTCCATGGGGGCGGGGGTCCTAACCTGTGGGTGTTAATGTGGTGGTAATGAAGCAGGATGTGGGTACCCTCTGCCCCCTAAGCAGCTGCTCTGTGAGAGAAATCCAACCCCCCATGCATAGTAGGAAAGTACTTCACCACTGAGTTACACCTCTGCCCTCCCTGAGATGGTTCTGATGAAAGCCAGCAAAGGACAAAGCTGTCATCCTCACCTGCCCCATCAGACTTTCCATCGAAGCAGAGGAGACAGATCCCACCCAATCATCTCTGGTCCTACTGAAGTCAGAATGGCTAAGCACCACGCCCATCTCGGAGCTCCTCGTGTCTTGAGACAGATGATCCCACCCCTTCCTCTGATGACTTAAGTCTTAACGGACTGTAACCTGGGAAGCCCTGACCCTGGAGTTGGTTCCACTCCAGATGTGATTTTGGTGATCCTGCCAGTGAGTCACCCTTCCCTATCTGCTATATTCACCCTGTGTTAACCGTGAGCCTAAGCAAAGGGAGGCACTCAATGGATAGCTATGCAGTGAGTAAATGAGAGTGATCAAGTCGGTCTAAACCCCGAGTACATCTGAGACATGAAACTCTGGCAAACAACTTACCCTTCCTGGGCCTGAGTTCCTTTAACCGAACATGGAGACAGTGGGCCTGGTTGTAGCCTGTAACCTGAGGAGACTGACAAGGTGAACGCAAGTGCCAGGCCAGTCTAGGTTGCAGAGCAATTCAACCCCAGCCTAAAGAAAATAACAAGACCCTATTCCAGAATTTAAAAAGAACAGGAAGAGGAAGAAGAGTCGAGCATGCAGCTCAGTAGAGGGACATATAGCACATGAGAAGCCATAGGTTCAATGTTCAGTAACACACACACACACACACACACACACACACACACACACACACACACAGTGGGGGTCAATACCAATTTCCAAGAGTTTATGAAAAACCTCCAAGATAAGTCACATTTTCTCTCTAAACTAATTTTTACTTACATTGGTTGATTGTATATGCATGAGGGGTTGCTGACCCTCGGAGGTCAGGACAACTCTTTGAAGCTAGTTCTTTCTTTTCACCATGTGGGTTCTAGAGAATGGAACTCAGGTTGGCAGCAAGCACCTTTACCCACTAAGTCATCCTTGCCATGTTTTCAGACAGTCCTAGGCAGGTAAGTATGTGTTACTTGATATATGTTCACCTCTATTCTATTTAATAGCAGTTAACTGGAATTCTTTGAAACTAGACTGATTAATTAGTGTCCCTCTTTGGCAGGGAGGTAGACTAAGTGACAAGTTTCAGAATGCCCGCTAGGTTCTGCTGAGCTGGGTCAGCACAGCCCTTGACATAGGCCTGGAGAGTTTCAGCTCCTGTCTGGCAGGGAGAAGTGGCCCTTTCCTGGTGTCAGCCTTGGCTCCACCTGACCCTACAGGCCTCTTCTGGCAGAGCCCATAAAAAACAGGTGCTCTGAATAGGCAATGGCTGTGTGCTAAAGGGGGTAGGGGGACACAGGTTTTGTATGCCTCTTGAACCCAGGCACCAGGACACGACATGTCCTTGGTGTCTCTGAGGACTTCCTGTCTGCCTCCACCCCCTGCCCAGAATACCTACTATCCTGGGACATCAAGAAGGTTGGTTATACCAGGAAAGTCCCAGCCCGCCCAGGAAATCTGAACACCTGGTGGGGCCTCATCCGGCCCATTGTCCTGAAGGGACAGAAACAGAGCCCTAGTCATCATGACCATCCACCCCAGGGACATCTAGTCCCAGGCTTTCCATGGGTGGGGCACATAGTCAGGTTTCCTTCCTGCAGCCACCTCACCCTGATTCTAGTCCAGAGATACCCTGCCTCCAGGCTCAGGTGGGTCACAGTGGATCTCAGCAAGTCCCTACAAAGGCCTCCAGGAAGCCCCTGACTTCCTGGCAGGCTATCGTGGCCCAGTGATTCCCATTAGAGCCCTAGGTGCCAGTGACGTCCTCAACTGGGTCCTCCAGTTCCCAGAAGTGAACACATAAAGGAAGCTTCACACACAGCCTTTCGCCAAGGACCCTGGGAAGGAAGACTGAAGCGAACATGTGCACAGATGTCTGTGTGTTTACTCAAGTGAGCAGCCCAGATGTTGTATGTGGTGCACTTATGTGCATGTATCCTCCGCCCCTCTGTGTACGTGTGCGTGTGTGTGTGCGCGCGCGTGTGTGTGTGTGTGTGTGTGTGTGTGTGTGTGTGTGTGTGGTTGTTCTGTGTAAATGAAAATAAGAGCACAGGCTCAAGAGAGAATAGGAAGGACATACAGAGAGAATGAGACTAAGAAAGAAGAGCAGGACAAGTCCTGACGGTGTCCTTCCAGGTGCTGACTGCTGGGTCAGAGGCTCTCACACATCTTATTCATGCTCTGCCAGGGCTGAGGACTGTGATGGGGTAGGTGTCTTCAGAGGAGGTGAAGAGTCGACAGATGAACTGCAGGATGGGCTGTATTGGGGTAGGACTCCAACATGCCTTACACCTCCTCACTCCCAGGCCGTCTGCAAACTCTCCATGGGCTTCAGTTTGTCCCAGCTGAGAAATAAGTCTGGGTTCCTGTGGTGTTGGTATGGATTGTCAAGGTGATCTAGAGTGACCTGGGAGATGGCCAGCAGACCCAGGCCCCTGCTAGCCCTCTGATGTCTGGTCATAATGGACTTCACCCTTGAACTTGGAGCCAAAGAAAACTCTTTCACCAGTGAGTTGCTTTTGTCAGAATATTTCTTCACAGAGACAGGAAGAGTGCAGAGTGATTCAGGGCTCTTGAGGTAGCTGGGAGAGAAGAGCACCCAGAGCCACTTTAGCACCCAGAGGTCCTAAAACTGTCTGACCCATCGTGAGTGGCCAAGGTGCACAGCAAGGAGAGGTGGTGAGAAGGTGAGAAACAGAGGTGGTGTGGAGGTGAGAAAAATCTCAAGAATCTGAAACCCTCCCCCATACCTTCACCTCAATGAGAAGCCTGTGGATTCTGCCCAACCCTGATGCTTCCTGGGGCGAGGCGGTGGGGGGGAGCTGTGTGTAGGTGGGAATAGGCAGTAAGGAGCCCTGACTTCTAATCTAACAGTCTGGTCAGTCAGGCCACAAAGCCTGTTCTCCCAAGTTTCATCTCCCTGTCTGTCGAATGAGGGACTGTAGAATCTAGGCTGTCACCCTGCCTCCAAGGGCTACTGGGAAATGGCACGGCAAGAGGGGCTTTGTTAATAGAATTCTGGCATCACCTGGGGGAAGAACCACACCAGGAGCACAGTATCTTCCTCGTGGCTTCCCCTAAAGTCACTCCCCAGGAGCAGAAAACGACTATGGCTTCTGCTGGCCCACTTCCTGAGCAGGTACCCTGCTCCGCTCTGAGCAGAACTCATAGTTCAGCTGTGTCATCTGTGTACTCATGAGTAAGTCTCTAAGCCCTACACGCCCATCGTGACGTTCCCCTCACAGTGCCCAGCAGCCATGCCAGAGCCAGAGGGCCCCAGGCTGGAAATCAGAATATGGCAAGTCTGGTCCCACATTTGTCACAAAGGCAAGAGTTGCTTTGAGGACTTGTTCTCACTGGGCTTATAAGAACAGGAGTCCCTGTTCCCTGCAATGCCTAGAAGGTGGGAGGCCCAGAATTTCAACGTAGGAAGACATTGCACCTCTTTCAGATAGTAAGTAAGGAAGCCCCTAAATAGGGAGAAACTCCTCCCGAGTGCTTCATGAGATATGGACGACTAGAGAGATACCACTCCACCTGGGGAAATCTGTACATAGGACAGAGCCAACAGCCATTGCTGGCCTGACCCCCACCCGCCCCAATCCTGCCTAACCATCTCCACTTAACCCCAGTAGCTCCTACTCTCTGCCATGCTTCAGGCTCTCTCACATGCTTTCAGTTTTGTCCCGCAGGTCCCGTTGCCTAGGACCTGCTCATTGCATCCAAGTCTGCCTAAGTCTCCATTAAGAACCAAGTGGCTAGGTCACCATCTTCTGGAAGCCCAGGAACTAGAAAGCTCAGTTTGTTTGGGTGAGCAGAGCAGGAGGCAGACCTCAGCAGGCCTGAGAGTGGCGTGCTGACTCAGGGTCCCCAAGGCCAGGACACAGAAGAGCCGGCCAGTGGCTTGGGCAGATTGTGCAGACAGTCTGGATTGTGGAGGAGCCGGCGGGCACAGGGCCCGGCTCGGCGCGGGTGGCTGTGGGGGAGGCTAGAACGGCAGACTATTTTTAGGCTCCTGTTCAATTTGAGAGACAAGGATGCTCCAGGCTACAAGTCGTTGTTCACTGGGGAAGACTGAAGTGGCCCATTCCCCTACAAGTCACCATAACCCCACCAGCAGCTCAAGGCCTTCAGAGCTTTCTCTTTTGTCCCCTGGGACCAGGGTTGGGGGTAGAAAATGGAGCATCTCCATCAACCCCATATGCAAACATTGTCTGGAGAGATGATTTCCATACTATTTGCAAGCTGCGCTGCTTCCTGAGCAGAAGGAATTGAAAGTTCCCTGTTAGAAAACTCTCAAGGGAGCAGGGCATTCCCCCACTCACCCAAGTCTCCCTTGAGTTGCCCTCTGAGTAGCAAAAATCACAGGTGGGAGTGGCTGCCCAGTGGTGGAAGTAGCACATAGGCTCAGGGAAAATATGTTCCATTGGGTGAACTGGTCTCTCCCAGCAGAGTGTGGGACATTCCATCTATGAATATTTTATTGAACATCTACTATATGTCCCACACTATTCTAGATACAGGAGATTCAGTTGTGAACAAGACAAGATTTTCTACTCTCCCTGGAACTGTCCAGTAGAAATGTCATATTGAGTCACCCAGGTCAATATAAAATTTCTAGTAAGCCACATTAAATAAAAGTTTTTTTTTTTTAATAGGTGAAATTAGCTAAGTGTGATGACACATATCTGTAATCTGGCAGCAGCAGAAGGATCCATCTCCCATGAGTTCAAGATCTACATAGTGAGTTTCAGGCCTCCAGAGTTACGTAGTAACCCTGTCTGAAAAATAAAATAAATGGTGTGTGGGGGGGAGGGGTAGCTGAAGAGGTGGCTCAGCATTTAAGAGCGCTTACTGCTCTTTCATAGGACCTAGTCCACTCCCAGTGCCCACAGCACGCAGTTCACAACTGGCCGTAACTCCAGTTCCTGGGGATCCAACACCCTCTGGCTTCTGAGGGCATCTGCACACACATGGTGTACATAAAGTCACAGAGGTGTATATATGTATACATAAACAAAAACAATAAATGAATTTAAAAATAAATAGCCAGATGTGGGGGCCCATGCCTTTAATCTCAGTACTTGGGAGACAGGGGCAGGCTGTCTCTGAGGCCAGCCTGGTACATACAGTGAGTTCCAGGCCAGGGCTACACAGTGAGACACTAATTCAGAAAACAAAACAACCACAGCAACAACAAAAAGGAACTATCATTGCAATGTGCTGTCTACATAGCAATTTAAGAGAGAGGTTTCTTCTATATTTAGATTCTTGAAGCCTAGTGTATCTTTTACCCTTGCTGGACATCTTAAATCAGATAAGTCACATTTAAAGGGCGTAGTGATCCTGGAAGGGTACAGTTGTAGAGAAAAGCACTCATTTGAATCAGGAGAAAGAAAAGCCGCAGTTGATCTGTGACATCTGTAGCTGCAGCAGCAATCGCTTGGTCAAGTAACAGGCCTGTGTCTGTCCAAGGTGATGTAGACCCAACCTTGAGGATGCATTCACTTCTAAACCCTCTAAGCCCATTCACTGTGCTTAACCTGGAGCGACTGCCTGTCTGAGTGCAGAACCCTTGTCACGGTCAAGGCCAGCAGTCTGGCACCAAGTGCCTCCAGGATGTGGTCCTGTGTCATTCCCTTTGTAGGGCTGGCTCACTGCCACTGGTGACTCTGACAATATGTTTGGGTTTTTTTTCCCCCCAGAGTTTCTTCCTCCCCTAGCTAACCAATACCAACATAAAAGAGCTTCCTGGGGATGATTTAGCTGTTTCAATCCCTTTCCACCAGCCCACACCCACAGACCTCCTGTCTGGCACCCTCGCTGGGATCACCCACCCTATCGGGGATGGCTCCATATCCTTCTTCAGCTAGATAATGACAGACTAAAAGACAGACTAAAATTAGGCTTTGGAAGGAATTCTGAACACAAAAGGAGGAGTGTGGTGCTTTGGTTGAAATAGGTAAGGATCAGATGTGAGAATGAACTAGGCCTCAGGCCCTACCCATCCTTGTCATCATTCTCGTTACTGTCTCCTTCAGTGATTCCTTAGAACCTGCAGGTTAAAGATCTGGGGGCCTTAGCTCCCAGGGTCTGGCACATGATGGAGTTGTCCAGTCGTATTTCCTAACATTCCTTCCTTTCATTTAATTTATTTATTCATCAAAGTATATGCAGCACCCACCAGGAACTAGGCACTGGTCCAGGTGTTGGGGATACAGCTGTGGGCAGCACTGGTAAGGCTCCCTACCTATGTGGAGTTCACTGTACTCCAGCCCGACCCACAAGCCCATGTACCCTTACCCCCACTTTGGCAGAACAGTTCTTTCCTCTTCCATTGTCACTTTCTATCTGGAGGGAGTGGGAGAGTTATGCATCCTCTAACACCCCACTCAAAGCCTTCTCTAAAGGAGAATCGGGTGCCAGGAAGATTGGGTGACATAGGCTCCCACCTCTGGCCTAGGGTCATCTCATCAATGGTCACCATCTATTCCCTAGTTTCTCTCCCCCAGCAGTCTTTGAGGGGCTTCAAGGTAGGTGCCTTTTCTCTTGGGGACCTTGGGGCCTGCATCTATGTACATTCTTCCAAATACTTCCTCTTGCCTTTGCTTGCTCTGGGGCAAGCAATCTGAGGAGTGATGAGACCAGGGCTCCCCTGGGGAATCTCAGGTCACCAGGAAACATCCTTCTGAAAGCATCCTCCTTCTGGCATCCAAGGAAACAAATCACAGGTGCCAAGGCATGGGAGTCCCAGGAACAGTAGATGGAGGACAGAAAGTCTGCAGATAGAGAGAACTGTTAAAGGGATTTTGGAGACAAACAGACCTCTATTCCTTGCCATGAGACCAGGAATGGTAGGAAGTATAGGCAGATCAGTCTGTGTGGCCCTTCAGATTTATGAAAGGGGCTTGGGGGGGGGGGTAAGCAGGGAAGTCTCCAGCTGAGCTCCCCAGTAGCTAGCCTTTGGTCCTTCACAGACTTCACTCTTTCTTTGCTTCCAAAAGAGAATGCATAAGACAGAGGCAGAAGGGTGAGGCTCACTTTCATCCACAGCCAATCCTGGCACCGTGGATCTCCTGTGGCCATCTTTGCAGCAGATCTGCTTGCCACTGAGCCTAGCCTAACAGTCCTGCCTACCCTCTGCCAGACTGAGGCCCCTGATGCTGATCACCCATCAGGGCAAACAGACAAGAGCCTTGTCCCCACATGCCTCCTCCCTGATGGCTCATTTACATGGGGTCTACATGGGCTCATTTCATGCCTGGATGCACAAGGCGTCTTGCCTGGCTGAACCTCTCCTTTGTGGAGACAATGGAGTATGCTCAGTCACTTAGGTCCCTCCCATAGGTACATCAGGGTACTTGAGCACTTCCAAAGGGAAGAGGAAAGCGGTTGGGGTACCGAGAAGGCAGGGACCACCCTAGAGGTCACCCGTTGCCCAGAGTAGTCAGGATTAAACTCCGTATTCCTCATTAGTTGCTCTGCCCACTTGGAGGCCAAGCTTCACCTGAGGTCTTCCTGAGAAGGCTGTGAAGTGCTGCCACTGCCGCTACTGCTGCTGCTATAAACTGGAGAACAAATAGACTGGGACTGAACCCTCTGAGGCTCTGGAAGGCAGAAGTCTTCTCAGACCCCAACAGGCACCATCAGCCGAGGACTCTGCTCCCACAAGATCTGTAATCCTCAGAGACCCAGAACCCCATCATCCCAACCACTTTGGCCACCCTGGGAAGACTGGGTTGGGGAAGAAAAATTGGGATGATCATCATCCGTGGGCTGGCCCACACAGACAGAAAATGCTGTGGTGAGGGAGTCTCCCATAGCTCACTAGGAGCTTGGCTGATTCACAAAAACTGTCCCAAATTGGCTGTACACCCCTCTCCAGCAGTAACTACTCGAACAGAAAAGCCCCTGAGAAACTCCAAAAGACCTTCCCCTGCCCCCAATGGGTAAAGAAACAGGAACAAAATGGGGCAGAGAGGGCTGAAGAGATGGCTCGGTGGTCAAAAGCAATGTGGGCTCTTCAAGGACCCAGGTTCAATTCCCAACACTCACATGGTGGCTCATTACCATCCACTATCCAGTATAACTCCACCCTCTTTCTGGTCTCTGCAGGCACCAGGCATGCACGTGGTACACAGGCATATATGCAGTGAAACACCCATGCACATAAATCTTGTGTGTGGGAGGGATTGTGTGGGGGAGAGGGGGTTGTGCGTGTGTGGCGGAGGTTTGCTGTCTTTTTCTTTTTTCTTTCTTTTCTTTCTTTTTTTTTTGGGGGGGGGAGGGTGGTTTCCAGACAGGGTTTTTCCTGTGTGGCTTTGGAGGCTGTCCTGGTACTCACTCTGTAGACTAGGCTGGCCACGAACTCACAGAGATCCACCTGCCTCTGCCTCCCGACTGCTGGGATTAAAGGTGTGTGCCACCAACACCCGGCATGTTGTTTTTCAAAACAGGGTTTCTCTGTGTAACAGTTCTGGCTGACTTGCTTTGTAGATCAGGCTGGCCTCCAATTCAGAAACCCACCTGCCTCTGCCTCCAGAGTGCTGATATTAAAGGCGTGTGCCACCACCACCCGGGTAAAATAATTTTTAACGGGGCACAGAAAACCCTAAGGAAGGTCATTAGAGGAACATCCGGGCTCTGTTCTGAGCTGCCAGGTATTATCCCCACATTCATCCCATAGTCACTGTCCTTAGTCCTGACCTCCATCCACCAAGCAGTCTCCTCATCCCCTCCCATTTCTCACCTGTCTCTGCTCCAGTCCGCGCTCTCTCTAACAAGGGATGCTCAAGACAGAGACAGAGTGGCAAGCAGTCCCCTCTCTTCCTAACTAAGAGCAAACAACCATTCTTTGGTCCTATCCTGACACCAACAGCCCCTTGCACACAACCTTCTATAATATCCTAAGGGGTCAGTTTCATCTCTCAAACGGCCCCTTGAAGATAGGGAGGCCTGGTAGTTTCTACTAGAAGTGGAAACTCGGAAGGTAAGGAGTTGGAGCTATGGGAAGGAAGGGCCGTAGGCTCAAGGTTTGCTGCATAGTTGCAAGTTCACACCCCCCATTTCTGCCCCTCGCTATCCGAGGTCCTCTGAGTCTGCCTGACAGCAGAATCACTAGGGAAATCTGAGACAGGGATGTTCACACAGACAGGAGGTACCAAGGGACAAACAGAAGGCCAGCCCCACTTAGCACCACTGGCATGGAAGACAGGGAGCAGGCACAGTTAAATAAATAGCTTGTTTATTAGTAATATGTTACATTATTAAAGTGCATTGAGAAGAGATAAGGAAAGGAAGCTGAAGGCCCCCGGCCCCAGGCCCCGCCCCAGACACAGCTGGAGAAGGGTCAGCTCTCTGCTGAAATCCATGGACTGGGGGCAGGGAGGCCCACTTGGAGAGCTCGGCCTGGGCCATCTCCACGGGAATTTTCACAGTTTAGCCTAAGTTAGGACATGTCCTGAGCTGAAGGTGGGAGGCTAGGAGCATGGAAGCACAGCCCCTGGGGAAGGGGGCTGAAGGGAAGGGAGGAGTCTCCCCCTGCCCCCCAACCCCCAATGCCAAGGGCAGAGTCCTGGAACCTCCCCCTGTGGACCCGGCTCCTCCTTCAAAATGACCACAGCAAATCTCCCCCAGTCTCCAGTTTTTTTTTTGGCCTCCCCCACCCT